GTAATTCCAACTACTTGGAAGGCTGAGACAGAAGGATCACCGGAGCCCAGCAGGTCGAGGCTGCGGTGGCCGGGAGCGGCCACTGCACTCCAGTCTGGGCGACAGAGTGAGATTCCAACTCAAAAAAAATAAAATAAAATAAAATAAAAGAACACCATTTAATATGCTTCATTGGATTAAAAATATTTCTAAAAAAATATTTCCATAAGTGTCTTTTTCTTTGTCTTGTGTATATTAACTTGGAAATATACCTTCAGTTTCAAAACAGTTCTGGGTCCAAGTACAGTGAGGTTTATGATGAATTAATCACAACTAGTTACAGATGTCTCTGTTCCTTCTCCACTCCCACTGTTTCACTTGACTAGTCTTTATATATATATATAGAGAGAGAGAGAGAGAGAAGAGGAAGAGGAGGAGGAGAAACAGGAGGGGGTGGGGGAAGGGGAAGAAGAAGAGGAAGAGGAGGAGGAGAAACAGGAGGGGGTGGGGGAAGGGGAAGAGGAAGAGGAAGAAGAAGAAGAAGGAAGAGGAGAAGGAGAAAGAAGAGAGGATTGGGCACAATGGCTCACTTCTGTAATCTACACTTTGGGAGGTCAAGGTGGGAAGATTGCTTAAGGCCTGAAGTTTGAGACCAGCTTGGGAGACATAGTGAGACTACATCTCTGAAAAAGAAAAAAAAAAGGAAAAACACACACACACACACACACACACACAGACACACATTCTGATTTGCTCTTTTATATATTAATGCTGGGTCACCAAAATATCATTTTCAATTTTAAAATTATTATTTATTTGAAAACTTTGAAATATAAAAATAGAGCAAATCTTTGCTGAAGAATTTTTTTTCAGTATTGACTACAGAATGGGGAGTCAATAGCAATTTAAAGGATAAGACAAATAAAAACTAGTAATATGATGAATCTCACAAAGTATATATTTCCCAGTCAGGCTTTAAGTCTAAAGTTTACCTGTATACTCATTTTCATAGAAGACATTTTAAAGTGAGTTTGATTTTGAAATTAAAGCTAAGATTATTTTGTATGAACTAATCTATAATTTCAGAGCATAATTATTTCAGAAACAAAAGATGTTTTTATTTCAAATGGCGTGATAACTATATTTATTATGCAATTTAATGAAATTAGGGCAGGGATTAGAGGATAAAAACCTATCTCAGTATTTTCAAGTCTGTTTTAATCCAGAAAGTATTTAAAGTGGATTACAAGGATAAGATGTAATAAGAAAAAGAAAATGAAAAACAGGAATAAGTGTAGAACAAAGAGTCCAACAAGTCAGGAATAGGCTTAGAATTCAAAATACATTCATAAAAATTATACACAGGGCAAACGTGGTGGCTCACGCCTATAATCCCAGCACTTTGGGAAGCCAAGGTGAGAAGATTGCCTGAGCCTATGGGTTCGAGACCAACCTGGGCAACTTGGCGAGACCTCGTCTCTATAATAAATAAAAAAATTAGCCAGGCGTGATGGCACACACCTGTAGTTTCAGCTTCTTGGAAGGCTGAGGTGGAAGGATCACCTGAACCCAGCAGGTCGAGGCTGCAGTGGCCATGTGAGCATGCCACTGCACTCCAGCCGGGGTGACAGAGTAAGATTCCAACTCAAAAAAAAGAAAAAAAGAAAAGAAATACAGATATACATTTGTTAGAGAGGAAAATTTGACTGTATTCCAGCAGCCAGTGTAGAGGAAGATGTTATCTGTTATGCAACTTATACTAGGGTTCACAAGATAAAAGCATAGAGTGGTTTCTCAAGGTGAACAAAGACCAGGGGAATTTTTCTTTGGTAGCTTCATAGAGATGGCAAAGTCTAATGTAGAAAAGAACATTTTCTAAAAACAACCTCTTAATAAGTTCTGAAAATAATTTTCACAGGCCAATGGCCAAGCATCAGTGTGGAGTTAAGCAAAGGTCTACGCAGAGCCCCTATGATAGAGCCCAGGTAAACACCGCTCTTAAAAATCTGGTGCAGGCCACAGACGCATTTTTTTTCATCTTGTCTCTCTCACACAGGTTCTAGATATTTATTGAACAGGAATAGTTTAAATTTTATTCTCAGGTCTTTCATTTGTTTTGTTTTACCTAGGTAAGTGTGAAGCCATAAAATTTAGCAATCAATCAATTATAAAAAGAAAATACATTCATAATAGTAACAAATGTTATAAATACCTAGAAATAAATTTAACAAGAAATATTCAAGAAAAACGACAAAACTTTAACAAGATCTGCATAAATGGGGACACATAGTATGTTCTTAGATGAGAAACTCAGCAGCATAAAAATCTTAGCACTCCTATTTTAACATATATAATTAATATAAGTTCCATTGGAGCGCCAACATGTTTCTTTTCTAAACTTGACAAATAGCAAAATTTATATGAAAGAATGAATGTGCATGAATCCTAAGAATATTTTTAAATACAAAAATACAGAGGAATCGGTTCTATTACATATCAGAACACATATTATTATGCAACCATAAAGAAGGACAAACATATGGACTTCGCAGCAATTGGATGGATTTAGAGTTGATCATACTCAGTGATCTAAACAAAGAAAAGAGTACCATATGTTCTCACTCATAAGTGAACCTTGAACAATGATCATATTACTATAAAAAAGGGATTGGCAGTAGTGGGAAACTGCCAGGGGAGGGGGTGTGGGATTGGCAGTTGAGGGAAACTGCTAGGGGAGGGAGGGGCACACCTCATCAGCAAGAGTACCTGCATAATCAACGTTTGTATACCTAACCCTGAATTGTATGCCGCATCTTTAAAATTAAAAAAATTAAAAAACAATAAAAAGGCAGGCATGATGGTTCACACCTGTAATATCAGCCCTTTGGGAGCCTAGGGCAGGAGGATCACTTGAGGTCAGGAATTTGAGGCCAGCCTGGGCAACATAGCAAGACCTTGTCTCTACAAAAAATTTTAAAATTAGGCAAGTGTGGCTGCGTGCGACTGTAGTCCCAGCTACTCAGGAGGCTGAGGCAGGAGAATTGCTTGAGCCCAAGAGTTCAAGGCTGTAGTGAGCTGTGATCATGCCACTATACACAGACCAAGACCCTGTTTCTAAAAAATAAAAAAGCAATGAAAGTAAATTAGTATGGTACAGGCATAAGACATATTGCCTGCAGACACGCATACATATAGGTGGGTTTTAGCATTGTTAAAAGTTGCTTTTTTTTTTCCAGTGGGAAAATAATAACTTATTCAGTAAGTGATATAGGGAAAATTATAAACTTAGCAAGGGGAAATCTTTTGTATGTCAGACAAAAAACAAAAAACAAAACAAAACAAAAAACTGGAAGCCATAAGAGCACTTACATGGCAAGTTTGGCAGCATATAACTTTTAAATTCCTATTAGCAAGATATACTGCATGCAAAATTATATACAGGAGGAAAAAAATTAGCAGTGCATGCAACAGACAAGATGTTAGTATCCTTAATAAGCAAAGATCTTCTGTAAATCAATAATAAAAAGGTAATTAACTGGAAAATAAACAAAGACAACTGTACATTTCTATAGTGGTAAAAAACCATCTTCAAATGTCAGTGACTTAAGTTAAAAGTCTTTTATCTGCCAGGCATGTGGTTCACACCTGTAATCCCAGCACTTTGGGAGGTAGAGACAAGAGAATTCCCTGAGCCTAGAGATCTTAGACCAGTCTGGGCAATTTAACAAGACCTCATCTCTACAATAAATAGCAAAAAAATTACCTGGGCATAGTGGCATACGCCTGTAGCTCTAGCTACTTGGAAGGCTGAGGCTGAAGGATCACCTGAGGCTGAGGTTGAGGCTGTGGTGAGCTGTGAGTGTGCCACTGCATTCCAGCCTGGGTGACAGAGTGAGACTCCGACTCAAAAAAAAAAAAAGTCTTTTATTGCACTACATATCAAACGCAGGTCAACAGAAGGGGCTCTGTTCAACACAGTCATCCAAGGACCCAGGCTGACAGAAGCCCCCCTCCATTTTATAGCAGCAATGTCTGAAATATATGACCCTCTCAGCCGCTACTGCTTTGGCCCAGAATAGCATGTAAGTCAGTTGAAACTAGACCTAGATAACATGGGGATAATATCTGGAGCCACAAAGGTTTGAGTTAGAATCCTGACTGTCGCTTAAAACTCTGGAAACCCTGACAACTCTTGTGGTTGTGAGATTTCAAAACAATTTATATAAAGTACTTGAGTTTTGGCCAGACACCGTGGCTCAAGCCTGTAATTTCAGCACTTCAGGGGGCAAAGGTGGGAGGATCACTTGAGGCCAAGT